AGCTAATTAATTCATGATTTAGAAACAGCAGCTGATGAAGCAGGTCATCAGTGAGTCCTTCACGGATTCTGCATACTGGAAAAGACATAAACAAGTAGGATGGTGAAAATCCATTTATCTCTGTGGTTTGAATACCTGGCCACAGGGTAAATTGTGCATCTTTACTAGCAAAACCTGAACTGGATAAATCAGTAGAAAAGAGACAATATACTGTATTTGGTCTCAGCCACTGCAGCCCAGCACTGATTATTTGCACAAGGGAAAACTCTACAGCTCCCCTAAAAGTAAGATAAAAAGTACCCTTACACTAAAGTACCACCAAGTAGTGATTCTTCCCCCACCCAAACACTAAAAATATAATCTCTAAAATAAGCTCTTAAAATGGAAGAAAAGTCTAACTTTAATATTAAAAATGTTCCCTCCCCCTCCTTCTACCTATCTTGTGTAGCACTGCCCCTTGGGACAAGCTGGAATATATTATGGGTCCTGCGCTCAATAGATCCAACCCTAAGCAAACCCAATCCCTCTGGCACAACTGGTAATGAATAGCAAATACCCCGCCAAGAAATTTGCTGACACAGGGCTAAATGAAACAAGAACAATTTTATGGAGAATGAAATGCAGTGTAGAGGGGTGGGGTTCCCCTTTCAACTTCAAAACTTACTTTTCTTCTTTTATGCAATGCAGTAAATTTGGTCTGCCACTAGAGGGCTTCACAGCCAAGAGTCTCCGGATAGCAGAGTTGCACTTTAAGCAGAATACAACTGATATCAAACAAATAAACTTACTTATACTCTATCAATGAAATGTATTACCCACTCCGGTGTATGATTCTGCTTCTGAGGGGCGTTAGCCAAAAAAATCACATCAGAGTCAGAACAGAATGCAATAAAGAGGTACCTCTAATAATGCTACTAAGCCAGATTCCCCCACTCTAGTCCTTGTAACGGTGGAGCTCTAGTTGGTGTACGTTTAGTCCTTACAATGAAGTAAATAGTAGCTGAAGGCTTCTTTGGAGTTTCAGCTGGTGTGGGTTACATCAGATTTCACTAGGTTTCTGGGCTGAGAGAATCCAATCTCAGTGTCTAGAGCAACACAAAGCACCCCAAGACCAGGGGCAGTCGCAGGATGCAATCTCCCAGTATGTGTCAGTCCCCGGGGCAGACAGTCTCAATTACACTGGTGGTGAGGGGCAAAGCAGGCAGAGGGATCTGTGGCTTGCACAGGGCCCCGGATGGGTGAGATCCCAGCAGTGGGGTGCGGATGTCCCAGTCTATATGCAATGTGTGAATGGTGTGTCTTACTCTCTCCAGGGGGACAGCTCACCAGACTCTGAACACACAGCAGGGTCCCTCTATCCGCGCTGAGTGCTGTAGTGCCTCCTCCTCTGCTTGGACGGGCTCCACGTGTCCCTGTATTTTCTCCAGCCTCGTGTCTCTCTGTTCTCCCCTTCACTTCCTGCTTCCTCCCCTTCCCTGCATTCTTTGCTGTGTAGTGGATGAGTCATCAACTTGGCAGAATGCCCAGGTTTTACAAATAGGGGAGAGAGAGGAAGGACTGACTGCTCACCATGTGATTCCTTCTGAATCCTCTTGTACAAGGAGCCTGCTACACACTCCCCCCACCAGAGAAGTTTTGGTCCTCCAAAGACAGCAGTAAAAGCAACCTGAAGCTTGGGGTCTCTTGCGCCCATTACCCATACCCGACAGGCCATGGACCATGATTTCCATTGACTTTATCGTGGAACTTCCACCCTCTCAGGACCACACAGCAATCTTCGTGATTGTAGACCGCCTGTCCAAGATGGCCCATTTTGTACCTCTAAAGGACACACCTACGGCCCTTGAGACAGCACGTGTGTTTATTAAGGAAGTGGTAAGACTCCACGGAATTCCCAGGGACATTGTATCTGACAGAGGGGTTCAGTTTACGTCCAGGTTCTGGAAAGCTCTATGTGAAACCCTGGGAATTAAGTTATCGTTCTCCTCAGCTTATCACCCACAGACCAATGGCCAGACGGAGCGTACAAACCAAACCCTAGAGCAGTACCTCAGGTGCTATACCACCTTCCTCCATGATGACTGGGTTACTCTCCTGCCGCTTGCGGAATTCGCATATAATAATGCAAGTCACTCTGCTACTAGACAGTCCCCGTTTTTCGCAAACTATGGGTTCCACCCTGTATTCCTGCCAGATCTAATCCCGGAGGTCGCAGTCCCAGCCACGCAGGATATGTTGACCTTTCTGTCAACCAATAGCAAGGTATTGCAGGAAGCAATGGCAAAGGCCCAGGATGACAATAAGAGGGCATTTGATAGGAAAAGAAGAGGGGAATTGAGTTTGCGGCCAGAGGACCAGGTTTGGTTGTCCACCGCAAATTTAAAAATGTCCTGCCCTTCGAAGAAATTGGCTCCCAAGTTCTTGGGGCCTTTCCGGGTCAAACGTAAGATCAACGAGGTGGCATACAAGCTGGCACTGCCCGAATCTATGAAGGTTCATCGGGTCTTCCATGTGTCCCTGTTGAAACCAGCAACTCCAGACCCCTTCCCGTCGAAGGTCTAAACCACCGGAGGCAGTAGACGTGGATGGGGAGGAGGAATTTGAAGTTGAAGCTATCTTAGATTGCAGGAAGAGGGGAGGCCAAACTCAGTTTCTGGTTAAATGGAAAGGATATGGGGAGGAGGAAAATTCATGGGAGCCGGCCCAAAATGTGCACGCCCCTAGGCTCGTGCGGGAATTTTTTCGGAACCAGCCGTTGAGTAGGGGTCGGTTGGGCATCCGGAGGTTGCCCGTAGGGGGGGGGGGCAATGTCAGGGATCCCGGGTCCTCGGCGGCGCGCGCATGCGCAGACCGCCGATCCATCCCAGCCAGTGAGCGCAGAGTCCTTGGCGATCGCGGCGGCCGCGCATGCGCAGTAGCGATCGCGGCGGCCGCGCATGCACAGTAGCGTTCGCGGCCGCACCAATGGGAGAGCAGGTCGCTCTATTTAAAGCTGCCCTGTGCATCTCCAAGTTGCCGCAAGGTCTTGTTTCCTGTCCTGTAAGTACGCTTCCTTGTTGCCAAACTCTGCCAGTTCTGTTTATGCTGACCTTCTCCTGCTCTGATCCCGGCTCGTTCCTGACCATCCCTCTGCCTGACCCTCGGTACCACGCTGCCCGCTACCTGCTGAACCTGGCTTGTGACCCCGACCATTCTCCGCTTACTCCCCCTGTACCACGCTGCTCGCACAATACCGACCCGGCTAGTCTGACCTCGCCTACTCCTGACAGTCGCCCATCCATCCCGCTCGGATCGGGATCTGTCATCCCATCCATCCCGCTCGGATCGGGATCTGTCGTCCCCTTCACAGCAGGCTCAACCCGGGCACATACCCTCAGCGGGACCCCTCTGCCGCCGCCGGGGGTGCCCAGGAACGCGACCTGGTTTCAGTCTTGCACCAAGTCCATCCCCATCATCAGGGGCCCTGGTGAAAAGGCAGACTGGGACTTAGACTCCGCGTCCTGGGAAACCCCGTGCCGTGGACCACTAGAGATCCCGTTGGGCGGAGCCTGACAACGTCCATCTTAGTAGTTGGTATAGGGCACTGCTTGAGTGGTTGTTGGGTAATTGAGCAGCAAGAATCCCGGACGAGCCCCCACGTGTAGCACTGCCCCTTGGGACAAGCTGGAATATATTATGGGTCCTGCGCTCAATAGATCCAACCCTAAGCAAACCCAATCCCTCTGGCACAACTGGTAATGAATAGCAAATACCCCGCCAAGAAATTTGCTGACACAGGGTTAAATGAAACAAGAACAATTTTATGGAGAATGAAATGCAGTGTAGAGGGGTGGGGTTCCCCTTTCAACTTCAAAACCTACTTTTCTTCTTTTATGCAATGCAGTAAATTTGGTCTGCCACTAGAGGGCTTCACAGCCAAGAGTCTCCGGATAGCAGAGTTGCACTTTAAGCAGAATACAACTGATATCAAACAAATAAACTTACTTATACTCTATCAATGAAATGTATTACCCACACCAGTGTATGATTCTGCTTCTGAGGGGCGTTAGCCAAAAATCACATCAGAGTCAGAACAGAATGCAATAAAGAGGTACCTCTAATAATGCTACTAAGCCAGATTCCCCACTCTAGTCCTTGTAACGGTGGAGCTCTAGTTGGTGCACGTTTAGTCCTTACAATGAAGTAAATAGTAGCTGAAGGCTTCTTTGGAGTTTCAGCTGGTGTGGGTTACATCAGATTTCACTAGGTTTCTGGGCTGAGAGAATCCAATCTCAGTGTCTAGAGCAACACAAAGCACCCCAAGACCAGGGGCAGTCGCAGGATACAATCTCCCAGTATGTGTCAGTCCCCGGGGCAGACAGTCTCAATTACACTGGTGGTGAGGGACAAAGCAGGCAGAGGGATCTGTGGCTTGCACAGGGCCCCGGATGGGTGAGATCCCAGCAGTGGGGTGCGGATGTCCCAGTCTATATGCAAAGTGTAAATGGTGTGTCTTACTTTCTCCAGTGGGACAGCTCACCAGACTCTGAACACACAGCAGGGTCCCTCTATCTGCGCTGAGTGCTGTAGTGCCTCCTCCTCTGCTTGGACGGGCTCCACGTGTCCCTGTCTTTTCTCCAGCCTCCTGTCTCTCTGTTCTCCCCTTCACTTCCTGCTTCCTCCCCTTCCCAGCATTCTTTGCTGTGTAGTGGATGAGTCATCAACTTGGCAGAATGCCCAGGTTTTACAAATAGGGGAGAGAGAGGAAGGACTGACTGCTCACCATGTGATTCCTTCTGAATCCTCTTGTACAAGGAGCCTGCTACACTTGTGTAACCTGTATGAAATAGATCTGTATACTTATCTATTTTTAATCCACTCTGGGTTGGTCACGTGATCCTGTAGCTCCATATAAGAGAGCACTCAACATGCAGCACTCCCTCCTTGCCCCTGGAGCAGCCACTCACAGACACAGGGGAGCCAGAGCTGCAAGATCATGACCAAACTAAAATAGGTAAGTACAGGGGCGGACTGACCATTTGGAAACTCGGGCACTGCCCGAGGGCCCGGGGTCAGTGGGGGGCCCCATGAGATGCCCCTGGTACCTTTTTCATAGGCTTTTTTGAGTTTGGGCAAGGACACAGGGGCCCCATGATCCCTATTGCCCGGGGGCCCCATGAGTTGTCAGTCCGCCCCTGGGTAAGTACACAGATCTTTTTTATACAAGTTAGACAGGATAAATGGGTGGGGAGGGGGGAGGGATTACTTTTAAGAATAGTTATAGTCTTTTCTTGCACTTTAAACCTCCAAACTTTTAACCTATTCCTTAAATCTGAAGTCAAAGCAAACCACTAAATACACAAGTTTACATTATAGGAACTGTGTTATCTGCCAAAGGATATGTATATATGTTCATCCAGTCCTGGGATTACACATTGCTACCAAAAAACTGAGACTGCATGGGGTGACCTGACTTTTTTGTACTGCAGTTAAACAGCACAGCTAGGTGACCTCCCTGCTCTCCCCTCTCCCAATCAGAAATCTGCTGTATAGGGGTTACAAGAGGCTAACATCTGCTCACATTTAGGTATTTACACTAGTTGCATTTAAACATACATTTCATACTTTAAAAAAAAATACATAACCTCATCCTTCTGTGCTTCTTTAACTGCCCGAGTATACCGTTCCTTCAGAGCTCTGTGCCACAGCCGTAACTCCTGTGTGAATGCGAGGGAATGACGGTATCGCAGCTCGACCATTCAAATGGCTGGAGCCTGCGAACCCAGAAAGAAGGGGTCAAGATGGAAGCCCTGTCAGTGGTCACAGCACACTGTGAGAGGACTTTGTTTTAAGGTAAGTCTTTCATAATATGCTAAAATGTGATTTTCCCAAAATTGTGACAAAAAATTACAACTTCAAAAACACTTGCCATGCCTATTACTAAATAATTCAAACTGTCTACATTCCAAAAAGGGATAATTTGGTGGGTGTTTGTGATTTCCTGGCATTTTAAGGGCCTTGAGAAATGAGATAAGCTGCCAGTACATCAGGATTGATTAATTTTCAAATATACAGTGGGTATAGAAAAGAATCACCCCCCTTTACAATAATCACATTTTGTTGCTTTGCAGCCTGAAATGAAGACAGACACAGTTTTGTTTTATCCAGCTGTATTTACTCAGTGCATCTTGTAACATCTTAGTGAAAAGATATAACACCAATGTCATAAAAAAAACCAGAATCACTAAGTTGGAAAAAGGATCACCCCCTCCTAAAAATGACTTGTAAACTCAATCAGGTGTAGCTAATCACTTTCTCAATGACACACAAAGCCATTTGAGTTTGAACTGTGATCAGCTGTGTTCAGCATGAAAAAAGCTTTCCTGGAGCATTTCAGTCCCTGATAGTGCAACTGAAGCAAATAATCAACTATGGGTGACAAGGCACTGTCAAAAGATCTCCGGGATAAAATTGTGGACAGGACAAATCAGGAGATGCATAAAAAAACATTTCAAAGGCTTTATCAATGCCTAGAAGCACAGTGAAGTATATGATTAAGAAATGGAATGTATTTAGTACAACACAGACCCTCCATGGATCAGGATGTCGCTCCAAAGTGGATGAAAGTGCCAGGAGGAAACTGGTCAGAGAGGCTACCAAAAGACCAACAGCAACTCTGAAGCAGTTGCAGGAATTGATGACAAAAAGTGGTCATTGTGTGCATGTGACAATACCACACATTCTCCACAAATGTGGCTTGTATGGGAGGGTTGCAAGAAAAAAGCCACTCCTCACGAAAGGCCACATTCATTCACTACTGAGCTTTGCCAAAACGCATCTTGAAGATTCTGAGATCACATGGGAAAAGGTGTTATGGTCAGATGACCATAACACTTAACCTAACCCCAGAGAGCAACTAACACTTAAGATCTCCTTAAAAATGAACTCCTATTTTACCCCAGACTCCACTTGCCCTATACGGAAATTGTACAGCTCTGAAATCCCAGCACCTGAGCATGATATTTTGCAGGAAAAGAAGGCCATGCTAAACAAAGTCTTAAACACTGATTGTTAAACTATGTTATTGCATTCTTTAACCACTTGCGGACCACCTGCCCGCAATGTACTGCAGATTGGCGGTCCCCACAGGCAAAGCAATGTACCCATACATCACTGCCTGCTTCGGGGTTTGGGAGAGGTGCATGCTTATACAGCCTGTCGCCAATGATTCACGGCCGTGACCTGCTGATCAATTGTGTTACAATCACAGCCCAGAGCTCTGTGTTGACGATCAACACAGAGCTCTGTACAGAGGAACCAACCTTCTGCAAAGAAAGGATGTTAGAAACACATTTAAATCCTTGATCACCTTAGATATTAAATGGAAATTTGTCTTTATTATATTTTGTATCAAATTTAACAGTACAGAGCATGAAAATAATGATAACATAGACAAGTAAGTGGACAGAAAAACATCACAGGTGTGATTATGATCCATGTGGATGAATGAAAATGATTCTAAACAACAGCAGGATGGAGGGATCGATAACACATATTACAGAGATATGAAAAAACATGAAAGGGGAGAATCCCCAGGCGAGATGTATTAAACAAAAATGAGATAACTCTGTATAACCAAGAATATAAACCGAAACAGAGAAAAAAGAGAGAAAATAGTCTAAAGAGAAGAGAAAAAAGTGTAGCCAGTTGTAAAGATAGTGAAGGAGAAGAAGAGAGAGAGGGTCAGGAAACGGATACGACAAAAAGCAGAGTCAAGGTGGCCCCCCCACCCACCAGTATCCCATCGGAGTGACCTGCTGCCGGCATTCTGGTACGGGCCACGGGACCAAACCAGGGAACATGCCAGAATGAAAAAGAATCAGGGGAGCAAGGCTAAATTCCTTTAAGGCACGACAGGGGAACACAGATCTCGGAGAGTCAAAGAGGAGGAGAAATGGAGCCAGACCGATCACAGTAACTTATGTTTATCATAGGTATCATTGGCAAATGCAAGCATTTCCTCCATACGCATGGTATCATTAAGCACAGAAACCCACATCGGAAGAGGAGGGGGAGTGGCCGTTTTCAAAAAGAGAGGTATCAATTGGCGGGCCACGGATAGAAACGCAACAAATTTTTCTTCTGCGCAGCCAGCGAGCCCAGTAAAATAGAGAGGAGAGCAATTTCTGGTGAAGGGGCCAAGGACTCACCATAGATCCTGTCACATACAACAAACACCTGTCGCCAGAAGGGTTGTATTAGGTCACAATCCCACCAAATGTGGAGCTGTGTACCAACAGCTTTAGTACAGCACCAGCAGAGATTAGTTGTTAAAGGAAATATTTTGTGTAGAGAGAGGTGGTCTCTGTACCATCGAGAAAGAAGCTTAAAGTTCTTTTCTTGTGAATAACAAGAAATATATGGTTTATGAGTGAAGTCTTCAGCCGATATGTCTTTACCTAGGTCTCAAGCCCACGCCTTGGTGTAGGGAGGGAGATCGGAAAGAAGAGCATTGTGTAACACTTTATAGAGGGAGGCTAGGACATGTCTTGGCGGTTCAGAGAGGGAGCACAACCGCTCAAACTCAGAGAATGGACAATGAGTGTAGGAGGAAGTGTTTGCAAAATGAGGATAAATGTAAAGTGGTCAACCAGTCCTTAGGCCCACCCTGAAGGAGTGGAAGACCCGATTGGGGGCAAATAAAGTCTCGAGAGGAGGAGCATGTAAAGGTACCAATGGTAGAAGAGCCCAACCCCTAAGGAAGAGCGGGGGTTGTCAAATAGGGGGATCACCATATTAACCCCTTCCCAGCCAGTGTCATTAATACAGTGACAGTGTATAGTGTTATTTCTGATCCCTGTATTAAAGTCACTGGTAATTTCAGTAGCAGTTAATCAGTTCCCCCAGCTTCAGTTAGTGTCAGATTGCCCACCGCAGTACCATTATAAGTTGCTGATCACCGGAATTTTTAGTATAAAAGAAAATTCCAGTATACAGTATATACCATAGATTGCAGATGCTATAACTTTCACGCAAACCAAACAATATACACTTATTTGGATTTTTCTTTATCAAAGACATGTCACAAAGACAAAGACATCAAAGACAAAATGTGATTTTTAACATTTTTTTACTGGATATGTTTTGTAGCAGAAAGTAAAAAATACTGTTTTTCTTCTTCAAAATTTTCGGTCTTTTTTTGTTTATATATCGCAAAAAAGAAAAAACACAAATACCACCAAAAAGCTTTATTTGTGTGCAAAAAATAATATAACTTTCTTTTGGGTACATCGTTGCATGACTGCGCAATTGCCAGTTAAAATTGCGCAGTGCTAAATAGCATAAAATGGTCTGGTCATGAAGGGGGTATAATCTTCCAGAGCTTAAGTGGTTAACCTCCACAATTTAACAAACAAAATGAATGTAAAGTAATTTATTAAGGTTGAAGTGAAGGAAGTACAATTTAATGCATAATAAAATAGGACTTAAACTAGGGCTTCTATAATAAAAAAAAGTCTGTGCTGTGGGATTGCAACTTTTACTTACATACAAAGTAGTATTTCCAGATGTGAGCAAGGTAAATGCAGGTTTGTACATCAGTTTAGAGTAAATATTTGTCTCTAACAGCTGTATTCCAAAAGCAGGTATTTGTTTAGGTAGGATTAACTGTACTCACAGCTGACCTCATGCCAGGTATTGCCAAAGACTAGTTGTTGGGAAGCTAGCAGTTGTTCCTTCACTCGGTCAGATCTATTTCAGTATAGGTACATCAGCCATCTTAAGAGGAAAAAGTAAACAGAAATAAAAGTTGTCTTTCTTTAATGCAGGTATCAAATATTGAAGAACTGCTTAATAAAGAATTCTAGTCTAAGTGAAAGGCAGGGCAAGATCACAAACATAACAAAGCAACCAATTTGCAGTTCAGATTTGGATACCCTAAAAAATGTTGTGTCTGTGCCCACCACACCTCCACTACAGTGTTTCATGGCAGGTGTACATATTGTAAAGAGGTGGTTTGTGTGTATCATGGCACTTGAGTTTTTTGCCCTGATTTATACTTACTCAGCTTTTCAAAGAAGTGGCCCAAACCCCACAGATATAAGGGTTGTGTAGAGATGTGCTGTTTGCTTTAAATCTTAAACAGCAGTTGCAAAGCATTTTTTTTTTTCTTTTTCCTCTTTGTGAGTGACAGACAGGGA